ATATTCAAATATCCAATAGTTTATTAATAATTATAGATTCCATAATTATTTATTAGTTACAAAATCACATTGAATAATGATTTTGTCTCAATGTTTTTATTTTATGTTCACTTACCTCATGAGAAGAAGAGCAATCAAGATTTCCCATGGACAGATACAGATTTCCTATGATGAATATGACCATCATGCATATTTAAATTGTACCAATAAAAAAAATTTTAATAAAAGAATATAAAAAAATAGATTCCCACGGTAAAAGATCCAATCAAAAATTGTGCAAATGAAATTAACAGACAATACTTAGAAATAGGAAAATTTGATAACAAGAATATATGATTCTACTGGAGGAAAACGAATAAACTTTTAAATTTACCTCATTTTATTTTCTGAAAATTGGACAATTTCTCAACCTAGGATGTCTGTAATCACTGTTACATTTAGGAAATTGTGATCTGAATATTTGATTTTAGTTAATAGTTCATAACTACAATGAATTATATTAAGCCACTTATTTCCCAGAAGTTTTCAACATTCTTTGCTTTTCTTATTTTTATATTTAAAGAATGTAAGTGCTCACTCAGGCTCTGTTATGTACAACTTATTTAATATCTAACTACTTATTTTCCTATAGTGTATGTAAATTTGTATAAACCGGGTCCTAATATATGCACATAATCTTATGACACAATAACTATGATTGTGACATTAGTGCATACTGTACCTGTAAAAGATTAAAATAATAAATTATAAATAGCCCATCTGACATTTAAAATTTTATACAAGCTTATTTTACTCCATAAAATATCACTATAATATCTCCTTTGTAGGATACCTTTTTGCTGTTTTTTAAAATTCTATGTTCTATAGTAGCATGTAATTAAGCTTCTTTGTTTCTCTGATACTAAACCTGCTTACATCCAGGCCAAACATTACAAACCAGGATAGTCCAAAGGCCCAATGATTTTAAGCCTTGGTAACTCTGATTGACAGATTTTTCACATCAGTCTTTCCTGATATATGATTTTTATTTGTTTTATTTTAGCTACATGGAGCAAATTGGGATACTTTGTATTGTTACCGGCTTATAATTTGAGAACATGCAAAAAATTACACAAAATTATATAACACACTATATTACACAGGTGAAAACTCATGTACAAAAATTATATATAATCTAGTGGAAAAAACATCTGTAAGTAAAGTAATTCACCCTGATCTATAAAATGGGAATAACATTCATCAACCTTATAGTTGCTGTGTGAAATTTTTGAAAATATTTAATTTTCATCACTAGTGATCCAGAGAGTTGATAGATAGATAGACAGATAGATAGAGAGATAGATAACATAAATATTCAGACATTCTAGACTCAGACCAATCACTTTAATCAAATTTTGAGCTTTTGTTTAATTTCTTACACAGGTATTGGAACTACTGTCTTAGAATATTTTCTTGTATTCAAAAAGTGCTCCATCCATATTACCTCTCCAAATAATAACATATAAATATTTACTGATAAAACATAATAACTAATTTTTGGAGACTGAAAAGTACCTATGAAATTTGAATTGCTGCCATATATCTATAATTCCATTCTCTTGTTAAGCTGTCCTTAAAAAACCTGTCTCATGAATATCATGTATATTGTTTCCTGTCAAGGTATTCAGGTCAGCATTAATTTTTGAATGCAAAGTTTTTTGTTTCAAAATTACATAAATTTGGCTATAGTTCATATAAATCATTTAAACACAAACCTGTAGCCCTTGAAAGAAATGACGCTACATGTACAAAAGGTTTTATGACTTCTTGAAGTAATGCAAGCAATTACCTAGAGATTCTTCAATTGTAAGTTTATTAATATGATAATATTTTTGCAATACCTGTGCATCTTTCCCTAACACTTAAGTGAAAATCTTTATTAAAGTTTTGATGGGAGATTCTTCTCTGACTTCCAACAAATAATACATGTAAAAGTTTGCATTTTCCCAAAAAGTCAATCATTATCACTTACATGAACTTATTCTTGAGAAATATCTTTAAAATATCCCTGCAGTCTGTCCAGCAATGGTCTTGTTGAGATAAGATGCAAAGAAAATTTTTCATCATATAGAAAATAACGTGAACATTTGGCCCAGTGGAGAAGGCTGCTTCCTGGGAGAGGGAATTTAGGAAATGGGCACTTAGTCCTGCATCACTGACCTGCTGCCATATGCACGTTGTGTGTGAATGTCTGCTTCTCTCTGTGCTTACACTGCTTGAGGAAAATAAGGAGAATATCAACCATCTCCATATGTGCAGAAACTAAAGAATATTTGAATATTAAGAATGTAGTTAATATGAGTTTTTGTTTTTAAAATAAGAAATTCCTTCCTTAGCCAAGAAGAAAACTACTGATAAATACACTTCACTATATTCAAAATGTGCCAGAAGCTGAACTAACATGAAGCTCTGTAACACATCTCAGCCTGAGGCATGCATTCAGCTGCTTCCTTCTTTTTGTGCCTTTAAAAAAACCCATATGTATCTCTGCTGTGTTTTTTTAAACATGGCTATAGATGTAAATAAATGTATTGCTGGGCCCATGCATCCATTTCACAGACACAATTAAGAACTATAGTTAGGGCTGGGTTTTTAGCTCAGTGGTTGCACCAACTGGCTCACAAGGACAAGGGTCCTGAGTTCAATCCCTGGTACCAAAAAAAAAAGAGCTACCTTTATAGTCCCTACATTTTTGGAATGTTTGAGAGTAACTTACCAAGCAGGTTTATGTCACTCTGAGTAAGGATAATTATTGTGACTAAGGAAGAATCCTCTCAATGTTTATCAGAGGTTTTTATTTCTGATGCCTCCTCAGTGCCAAACAAGGTAGCGTTTGGGGAAGCAGATGTAAGGACACCGAAACATCCAAATAAATGCACATCATTACACAAAGAAAAAAATAAAATGTGCTACTACAGAAATGGAAAAGAGGAACTTCAGGTCACAGGGCATAGTAGGTATGAAGATTTTACATATTAACCCCATATGCAACACTCCTTATATGTATAATCCACCAAGTAGTACTTTTAAAGAGAAAACAATACTAAAGTCAGTACTTCCTCAGAGATATTAAAAATCTGCCCTACATATCAGCAAATAATAAGTAGAGTTAAAGGGATTAAAAATTGGCAGATGCTGTCCAATACACTGAAATTTTTCATTGTTTCCCAACCCACAGAAATATTTAAGCAGAACCTTAGAAGACTTAACCTTGAGTGCATTTCAGGTACATTTTAGCTCCTTCATTTCCTAAATGGAAATGAAGTCAAGAGTTGACATATTTCCATTTGAGACTGTTTGAAACAATTTCAGGCACAAAGAATGTAGAAAGCTCCACAAATATTTTGCAATGCAGTAGCAGAGAAATCTGTGCTGAATTATACTGAGAGAGTATATTAGTTTATTAAGATGACAATCTTTTCAAAATACTTGTGCTTGTTTCGCTATCATACAAGTAAAAATCGATATAAAATATCCATGGGGGATACTTCTCTGATTTACAACAAATAATATATGTAAAATTTTCCACCTTGAAAGTGCATATTCTTTCTTGTGCTTGCCTGCGACCCATAAATAACTGTATTTCCTATGTGCATTCCTCTGGTGCCTCCCACTGCTGTTCTGTGATATCTCAGGAACCTCTACAAAGGAGTGGAGCTGGGATCATGGACTCTTTTCCCCCAGTGACAGGAAAAGGAAATAGCTGTTTGTGTTATTAAGAGAACAACTAGGACTAGTCTTCATGTGATGCCCTGTCTGTAATAAGATAGATAAATTTAAATGTGAGTTAACATTTTTTATATTTAACAACCTGCTGCAGATTTCATTAAAACCACTAGTCCATTTACCATATGGCAGGACAATATGAGCACTCATAATGACAGGAAGACAAAACCAGTGAGATGAAATGACCTGTGTAGAACACATTCTCAGTGCATGGAGTCCAGGAATCTCTCTGTACCAGTTCATGATGCTATACTCACTGTCCTACTCTACATCCTTAACATCACCTTCACTGTTCTTTTGCAGTGCTTAGAAAACACTGCAGAAGGGCACATTTTCTTCTGCTATGGATGAGACAGCAATGGAAAAGAGAAACAGGGAGTATAGAAACCAAATATGACATTCTGCTTTCTCCACTACAACCAAAAAACACACAATATCTATTTTTCATATTTATACCTTCCCATCTGCTTACCCAAACTGTCATTTTGTTTTTGTGAAGATGAAACTATATGTTCAAGGTTCCTTTCTAGCTCCATGAGGTCCCTCTGCACTTACTGGTTGATGCTATTTCTCTGATGGTCATAGTCAAGAAGAGAACATCAAAAGATGCTCCTATGTCTGCTGCCAAG